AAGAAACTAATGCATTCATACACATTCACACACCGATACACGACATCGGGAGCAATTAGGGGTTCAGTATCTTGCTCAAGGATACTTTGACATGTGGCACCAGGAGCCGGGGATCGAACCAACAACCTTCTGATTAGGAGACGACCCGCTCTGCCTCTGTGCCACAGCTGCCCCATTTGACATGTTTGCCCAATGGTCCAGATTGTCAAACGAACACCGCTGTAGCTCAACAGCTCAAATGTGTAAACAAGAAGTCACAAAAAACAAATACAAAGACATAAAGTGCAAATACATCTGTTTTCTTTTCGTTAGTACTGCTGATTAATACTGACCGTAACACAAACTACTACAGTATGCATATATACATACATATGTTAAATATGTTTAAAGCAGGTTTAGTATATTTCAGACATTTGGGAAAGAAATGTCAGTCTGAAGTGGGTGTGATAATAATCAGAAAACCTTTGATGCTCTGATTCTCTCTTGTGTTCCTCTGAATGTCACGTTTCCTCATAATTTGGTAATGGAAAAACAAACAAATACAAGCTGTCAGAAATCGTTATGTCCCTCAGCAGTGAGCTCCTTTTGTCGCAGTCCTGTCGGAGAGGCACTGGATTAGTCACAGAGCAAAACATTGATTACATATCGATTGGAAGATGTACAGGGCCAGGAAGCCACGCTGCAAGTCAGTGTTATTAGTGTGAAAACGACAACAAAGGCCACCATACCCCTAGACCATAAATACACTGGCAATTCATTCACAGTTTGATTTGCTCACAGTCATGCAGTTTTCCATACTGGACAATACTGTATTGACAGTTTCCCTGTACGTTAGGTGTAGACCACCTTATAGAAAACCTCCAGGGCTCAGATTCTAGTGCCTTTTAAGCCATTTTAACAAAGACGTTCATTCTAATTCTGAGATTGTAAGGCAAAATACTCAGCGCTGACACAAAAAAAACATTCTACATTGTAATTATATCGTTATATTATATAACTAAGTAGTAATAAATACTACCTTTTTAAAAACGTACCATTGTGTTGATTCAACAGAGAGGTGCTGATTTAACTGTATGGTCATTTTGAGGCTCTGGTTTGTGTTGTGTTGCCATGTTTTATTGTGGGATATTTCTAAATGTTTCCCTTCCACATATGTGAATTAAGTGTAAAAAGTAAGATTGATGAAAGTTCTGCATTGCATTGGATTACATCCTAAAAGTGTTTCCATTTTTCTGGCCACAGAGTGTTTAGGAATATGTCTGCACACCACAAAGCATGGCAGAAACTAGAGAGCAGTTTCAAACAGCATCAGTCTTTCATTTATTAAAATCAGGAAAAAAAAATGTTTTCCCTTTTAGCCTAAGCAGTATTGAACTATGAAGATAGTTTGGGTTTTTGTAGTGAGGCTTTGAACACCCCAATACAATTAATCTGAATAGGATTTAGTTTGCAGTGATCAAAGCCAGTAAACCTTATTACTTTTGAAAACTCAACATCAAAGTGTCTGTTCTGAGCACTGTACTGGTTACTCAGGATGACTGACTGTCCAAAGGACAAATCTTAATGTTGGTTTTGTACCACCTGGACCTTTCCTCTTGCAGAATATAAACCTGCCACGGACACCTTTTTGTTGCATTGTGTGGATTTTTGAGGACACTATATATTACACAGCTTTCATGCTCTAAATTCAGTGCATTCAGGTAAAATGGCTGTCAGTCAATGTGGTGCAATATGTAGTAAAATTGAGAAAAGTGAAATCACTGCTGAGATATTTGAGAAACATTGAGGTTACAACATACAACATTACGACATGCGCCATCTGTATATATAAATGTCTCATATTCTAAGGTAACAAAAATGTTCTTATTTTGATTATAGGCTAATGGAAACACACCTATGAATATTCTATTTCTGCCAATAGATCCTCCTAAATGTTACACACTGGACCTTTAACGTAAGTGTTTGTGAGGTGCAAGCATATTTTTGCAGTGGTTCCCAACCTTTTCCCTCAAGGGACTCCTTTTCTGTCATTGAGTAAACTGACAATCCCAGACATATTTTTTGGAGATTTCATATTATATTCAATGCATAACAAAAACAGTACAAAACAACTGATAAGCTGTACAATGAACCCAAATAGTGAACACAATAACTGCAGGATGTTTGTGTAAAATGAGCAATTTAGATGAATTCTGAGCAGATTATTTCCTGTGAGTATTGCGCCAGAGAAGAGTTTGAACTTTTCATACAATTCAGTCTGTATTATGTCTTTTTTATTTTCAACAATTGTGACTATTTAATAGGCCTCTGACAAATTCAGTTTCATACTCACTCCGATGCTCGCCCATTGTTCTTTCTGCTCTTTGGTTGTTTGAACTTTTCTGATGCAGGACGAGGCTGTTTATCAGAGAGTAAATGCTCTGTGAATATAGCTTGTGTTCAAATCGTTTTTTTCACAGAAATAAACAATATGCTGACATATAGGCCTACTGTGTATATACTTTACATTTCCTTACACCTACACTTAATTTGAAGAAGGCCTTGCGACCCCCTATAAGACTTTGGAAGCCCCTAGTGTGGGTCCTGACCCCCAGGTTGGGAACCACTGCTCTAAGACACTAGTTTTACTTGATGCATTGCACAGATTTCCCATTACATCCATGCGAACCAACATCGAGATCGATGCTAATCTAATGATGGCATCTCGTTATAGTTTACCGTATTTTGCAGAGCACATGGTTTGCTCTCACCCTTATGACCTGTGATTAATCCACACTGCTGGAAACGATGGGAGCACTGCATAAGGCATTCAGCCCATAATGAGGTTGATTGGTGCCTTCAACCCACTATTACAATCACTTGGCCTGATGTTTCACTGTGAGCGTCTTGCTTTCACCAAACCAGTTTTTAATTACACGTTTGTGATATTGAAGCCAGACTGGTCGGGCTCCTACTGGCTCCCTTTGCTGTTTGGTTATTATAGCTCTGTGCATGTATAATCAGCTCTGTACACTCGGGAGACAAAGCAGAGGAACAATGACCTTTGGGGTACAATGAACCATTGCTCCTTGAAAACAAATCACATGGATTCCCAAGGGATTCAGCAATGCTTACTTCAATCCCACTCAGTGTCTGGCCACACCAGAGTCTGGCAATCACTGCAGCCTCCACGTGCCCTTGTCTATCCCCAGATACACCGCACAGACCATTTCCAATCGTACCTTCTAGCTTATATGACTACACCCACACTTCAGGAAAATATGCATCTCATTAGTTATGCACTGTGCTCACTGAAAATAGTCTTTCTTTGGTGCAAAGTGAGGAGTAAGTTCGACAGGCTTTCTCTGGCACACAGTAGGTGGTTTTTGGTCTTTTAAGCTCCCTCTGTCTTCCCTGCTCTCGAGAAGTATTCTTTTTTGCCCGAAAAACACAGTAAATGCCCACAGAATGAGTCAGCGACAGGAAGACAGAGAGAGGGTGTATTTCTGTCACGATTTGAGAGACTGATAGGGTGTCACCAAAAGAAATTGTATCATATTGTGCTCGTTTTCCTCTCTATTTCCTGCAGGCTTCTGTGGAGCTGTCATATGCATGCTATTATCTGACAGTTATCTGACCTGTTTAACTGTGATAAAATGCTTTATGTGTCCTTTCCCGTTCTACGAGACACATTGTTTAAATCCCCTGCTCTCTGAAGAGTTCACCTGATTTGTGTGCTTATTGCCGTCTGTCTCTTATTCACCTACTGAGGAAGAAAAGCAAAACAAACCAAAAAAACCCTCTTCTTTCTCAAAATCAACATAAATATAGGACATTTGAGATGCCAAAGGACTCTAGGACTCATCGTCTCCTTGACAACAGTCTCCAAGCAACCATTACTCCTCAAAGCATTCTCCAACCCCGTCTCTCTCTCCCTCTCTCTCCTCAACCCCTCTGTCTCTTTGCCAGTTTGCCTTCCTCTCAAGAGTCCTCCCATTTAACCACTCTAGATAGTTACTGTACCAGCATCGCAGGCTGAAAGCTATGTGATGTGATCTCATGTGATTGGCTGTAGAAAACGGGGCTCTTGCTTTTTAGCCTGAGGCACATCTCTACACCTGCTGAAACTAGGGTGGAGCAGAACGAAGGGGGGGCCGAGAGAGGTTTTCATAGTTATTTGTGTCACTGTTTTTTGGAGACTACCAACCAGTGAACTAAAATCCCTTTTTAGTGCATTGTGTTAAAGGAATAGTATTAGAGAAGTTTGCTGTTAAGTGACGGGGAATCAAACCCCAATTCCAAGTAGATCATCCAAAAGGGACTAGATTTTAGTATTTTTGAATCCTACTTAATTCGAAAGTGTTGTTTTAAGAACTGTCGATCCATAAATCATCCATCTAACTGACGCAGCTAACCTTACTTTTGGAACTATTTCAGGTAACCAGCAACTGCATAGTTATTTTTAGCTGTAGACAGTCCCCTATGTCCCTATATGCGACCCCCACGTTGGGCACCACTGTATTAGTGGAAAGCCCTACAGCAAACTTGACCAAGCTGCAAAAAGCTAAAAATTGACACTTAAAGTGTATTAAACATTATTGTAACCAATCCACATTTTATTAAATGCCTGCCACAGAGGACCACGACAAAGAATCTGCGGGAGACACATCATGGTTTTTACATTGCCATCATTAAGCAGGTAACCTGACAGATCTTTCAAACTGCATGTGTGCTGCATATATCTGGAGGCCAGAACAGTTATATATTGCTTTGTCTCATATTCTCCCCTGATACGATCTATTTTCGACCTGAGATTTTGTTACAGCCACAAAGTGTTGACACTGCATCTTTTTGCTGCTTCGTCCTAAATGGAACAACTGTCCTGAGATGCTGTCTCACAGTCTGTCTAGAGGACCCATGAGTCATCCAATGACCTGTCACGCCATCTTTCCACCTAGTAACGGCTGTAATGAGACATTCATGTTGTTATAAAAAAAAAAATGACAAGACACTCATTCAGGATGTCAAACAAAAATTGATTTATTCTCAGTGGAAAGATGAGTGCTCAGTAGACGGTGACAAACGAGTGCGTATGTGTCAGTGACGTCGCCACGCTTGACGAGATATCCGAACAACGTTTCCAGAACGTTCTCTTTTGGGTCACCTGTGTGGCCAGCCCCCACAGAATCCAGTCTCAACACACATAATAATGCCAGTGGATAAAAAGAGAAAAATGGAAACATCAAACAGCCACAGGTAGATTAGGTTTTCTCTTGTTTGTCCTCCTGTGCTTCAAGAACATCCCAGCGTTCTGTGACTCAGCTTCTATTGAAGAAAAGTTCAGTCTGGTCATCCCTGCTTGTAGCTATTTTGACTGTTTTTCCTTTCACTCCACATCCTACGGTAAAGGGTTCTTTGTGCCGATCGCTCATAATGCGTTCAGCAGAAATATGGCTTGGCTGATGTTTTTATCCTTGTATAAAAATCACAGATGAATGTATGCCATTGGTGGTAACACTTCTTCAAATCAGTTACTGGAGACAAAAGGTGGATGCAGTGTGAAGATTGTGGCTTAGAAAATGCGCAGAGAAGGAGCGTTTTTTTGTGGTTTTTTTGTTACAAATAAAGGGTCTTGCCTTTGAGATGGCATCGCTAGAGACACTAGCTAGATTGTGCATTAGCTATTGGCCACTGAGGTACAGTCAATCCAGTAAAACCTACAGGGTCATGTCTTAGATCGTCTACTCGGCATGCTATAAAACAGGGTTTACAATAGGTATACATTAGATTCCTATCAGTCTCTACATAATCAGTGCGTGCTACTTCGTTGTGTGTTTATTTGTGACCCCCCCACCACCCAT